GAGACTTGAAAACGAATACCGATGTGAAAATTGTAACCAAAACATTCGCATTAAGTCCATCAACAAATATGTAATAAATATGTAATAATCAACGAAAAATATTGAAATTCTTATACAATTTGTTGATAGAATGGATAGATAGCTATCCACAATTCATAACGTAACGTATACAATATTTTTATTTGTTGTTCGTTTCGTTTGAATCATTTCCATAATAATTTGTCTTATGCCTTACATTGTTGGTGTCGCAATTTCACTGCAATTTCGTAACGAAGAGAATGCAGAAAATTCTCTGTGCATCATGTGAGTCAGTCACAATTTGAAAATAAATTCTTATTAAGCTAAAGGATAAACAGAAAATTCAATCATTATTCTAATAACGTGTTGCAAGTATAGAAAATAAACAATTGTTTGATTCTTTCAAACAATAATATATCAGCAATGAACGGCCACTTGAAAGTTTGAATGAGCTTAAAATTAAAAGCAATATTTTTGCAACAATATACAAACGATATATAGAATCAATTTGTTTACAAAGTTTTTAATTTATTTGCTAAATAAAATTAAATTAAAATTTCTAAATAAAATTTTTCATTGTAATTCGGCTTTTAATCAAATAAGTTGTTCTCAATAATGCTGCTTTGCATAAATGACGTGTTCATCTCTTGAGGAGATATGCGACAACCTAAGACTTCTTATTCAAATAAGCAAATCTTCTAATCTTCAATAAGAGACGTGAAAAAAAACTGGTCGCGGGATACTTTAGCTTTTAACGACTGCTCGGTTCGTGAATGATTTTCTTTTGCTCTTTTAATTCACTTTCTCTCGACCTCACTCTTTAACTGACGACTTATTCAATCCGAGTTTTGCACATATAGGCATTGAGCCTGATATACAAACGTCTCCGCATCTTAAATCAGCATCGCAATATTAATTGGGTATACCCGTTCTTTTTCTAAAAGAGAGCATAGGTAGGATAGTAAGCGCTGAATAAGACTGCGAGATTTTAAACTGTATGCTGTACAGCTGTACAAGGTGCCACACTAAAACCTGCACAGTACAGTTTCGCGGCGTTGTGCTCCAAAAACAAATCCATTTACGGAAAGCTTTACTTTTTCCGCTTAACAATCGATATTCAAAGCCTACACAACCAGGACACGGAGTATGCGAATCAACGATGAATTTGAATATCTTTGGCGGCCGCATTTAGGGGGTCTGTTGGACATTATTGGTGTATTATGATTTGTTCTAACCGGTTGCGTAAATTTCCCCTATGAAGAAATTCTGCCACATATAGCAAAACACGCACAAACAATGTTTACAAGTTCAACCTAAAATGCCCTACCCTTCCCGCTGTTATCATCAAGCATCGCTTCTTCCGATTAAGACGGACTTAAAAAAATGATATATTTCTTGTTCGAAAGAAGCTCCTATTTTCATGAAGACACCCAAGTCGGAGTCCTTTTAAGAATAACCTTAAAGGACCAATTGCCCGCTTTGCACTCAATGCATATTTTACAGAGAAACTAAGAGAACCACCGATAATTGTTAGACAATACGTTGAACAAAGTAACTTTCAACATAAGTTTATATACATTTATAATATAGAAAATCGGCGGAAAATTATACACATAATAGTATGCGTAAATATTCACAAGACGCAAATCTTTCCCTGCTCTTACGACCGCATGTTGTGCTGTTAAGTTAACATAAGTTAAGGAAGTATAACTTAATCGTAAGTTAGCAGTAAGGGGCATACCCTCTTATTGCCTTTTCTTCTTTTTTTCTTCTTTTTCATGATCGGCCAAATTTAGGGAATGATCGATTTGTCCGCCTCCAAAAACTAACCAACCCCAAGCATTCTAATCCATGAACTCGGTAATGCGCGAAGCGAACGCCAAGCTGTACATTTTTGAGAAATGTAAAGAATAGCTTTCTGGTATTACCTACGTAAGCAACAATTTAAAACTCAAAAACAAAAGATGCTATAATCTATCTGAAGCTTCAATCAAATGTTATCTTAAGAAATCCTAATGACAAAGGCAAAGCACTTTACAAACAATAGCGATAGACTAGCATCTCTCTTTTCACGTTAATTTACTTGTGCATTTATTTACTGCAAATTAAAATTTGAAAAAAACACTGTTAAGATTTTTAAGATTTGAACTTTTTTACGAGGAACTTGGAATGAGAAACTCTTGGCACCGAACTTTAATTTTATCGGCAGTAAACATCAGAATAGAAAGTAATAGAAAAAGAACAGATAGAAGAAGGGAATGTGTGAACATTTACGTGTTAACTTTAACACTATTCCATAAATACGCAATACGCTCACCAATACACAATTGCTTGCATTCCATATCATACAATTACAAATTAAAGCGACCGTTAAAGATAATCTACATTCAATTTTGCGCTAAGAAGGACATGCATATATGAAAAAAAAACAAAAAAAAAAAACAAAAAGGAAAACGAAAAAACTCTCTAACATTAATTTGTGCGCAAAAATTTGCATTTAGATAAAGTCAAATAATTTCTATTAAAAGTAAGGACACAAGCAACAACAACTGCGTTTACTTGAGACAAATCTTTGAAATTCATTATTATATGCAAATATATGGAAATCATAGATTAATTTTTTTTTATCTAAAAGTACATTAAAAATCACATAAATGAAAATGTATTGATTTTTTGTTGGAAAAAATTTACATCTCGATTAGATCGAAAGTTATTAACGCAACTACACGATTTTATCAAAATTGACGCAAGATTTGAGTTTTGCGCCAATTATGCGAGAAAATGTTGCCAGCAAATAACAAAAGCTGGCGTGGCAGTTCACAGTTCAGGGATGTTAAAAATCAATCGCAACATAACGTTTAGAGTGCATGCTGGTCCTTGCAACAAAATCATCTTCAGCGATTAGGTTCGTTCACCGTCTGATGTATTGATTTGATTGTTGGACATCCGTTTAAGATAAATTATTTTCTCAAAACCCTTCGACTATGCCAGTTGTTTAACTGATCTTAGCTCTGCCCAGAGTTTACTAATTCAATTTTTCATTATTGGAAACATTTGTATAGAATTCATAAAATTGATTCCAGTTAGCGACATTCCTATCCGTAGTTCATCTCTCAGTTTGAAGTACATAATTCAAAAATAACAATTTGCCTAAAGGCCGTTCTTCAACTCTTCTTCAAACCGGTATTGATACCGGCTACCGATTCTTGAACGAGTGGTTTCCCTTACTCTATTATTCTCTCATTGTTGTAACTACAATTATTGATCGACTTTATAGTCCCCCAAAATTATCCGATATTCATAGAAAGAGATTATAGATCGTTTTAAAAGCATCAGTTCATACATTAATATGATCACACCAGCTAGCTAGCCCACGTTTTCAGCGGAAAACTTGGATAGTAGTATAAGCAAATCTTCCAGTTTTTTTTAAGATTGTAGAAAGTTGTTTTACCATGATTGAAACGCTTGCACTAGATCGTTTCACTAGATCATGACCCGGATAACTGTACACGGGAAGTACCTTGACAATGTTGGTGGACATTCATGGTGCGGTCTATAATATGAAATAAATTATATCAATGTAAGCAATAACTAACATGCCTAAGAAAGAAAAGGCAAATGAATCTAAATTTTCGCAAATAGCCCAATAATATTCCAATTTTTTTTTACTCCTACAATTAATACTATTTGTCGAGCATACGAGCTCTACATTTATCGCAAAGCGTGTACTCGATAGCTGAGAAGCGCTTGACCTTTCGAAATGAACTTTGTAATCTGATGGGAAATCCGTCCCGAGACTGAAGAAGATGTATTGTACTCGCCTGTATCACAAGCCCTTCTTATAAATCCAACCATATTCTTAGATTCGGAGCGCCCTAAGATTTTACAGGATACAATTGAATGTTTTTCTCGTCCCCTCAATATCCGAAATATCCATATGAAATAAACAATACTCACCGGGGACAAAGATTGAAAAATTCATATCTTATAAGTCTTACACAGGCAGTTGATAAGGCCCTGAACCGTATACCTGACTATATTTTCATACATCAATTATTTAAAGTCTTTAGTAGTCAAAGTCTTGTAAAAACAGTTTATCCGAAAACATTCACAACCACATAGTTAAAGAAAACATATTATCCTCACATACGTATTTTCGGTGATGAGTGTCCGAAATTCATCCTAAAGTTTCCTATCTATTTTTCGACTCAAATCTTCAGAAAATTTTAGTATCTTTTTCAAACGTTTTCCATCGGCAAAAAATAAAAAAAAAAAGTTGCAAACAATTAAAGTTTATTGAAAAGACATTTACCCTAAAAGTTAATGCTTCACCCATTAAAGCAAGAGATTTTTTTCGTTACCTCATAGAGACTCATCCCTTTCATTATAGTTTTTAATGTGCAGAAATGAAAGGTAATAAATTAATGCCAACCACAAAAAAAAAAAGAAAATAGGAGCTATAATGATGACTAACTGTCCGACGGACTATATGAGGGACCAAAAAAAAAGACATGTTTTTTTTTTTTTTATTTTCTAAACGGAAGCATGCTTTTGCTGTAGAAAACAAACAAAAGAAAGCAGATGCTTCTTCTCTGTGCAATGTAACTTTTCAAACAATGATTGTGTGAAAGTAGATTGATAGATGAATCTTATATATATATAGTGTGCGTCTGTGGTGAGCATGGCGTACACTTGATTTTTATGATGTTTTGTGTGCCTTTATGATCATACTTTTTTTTTTCTTCAGCCATGACCGTTATGGCTGTATTAGTAGAACCGAATAAGTGAGATGACGCCGCAGAGACGGCCATATTTTGTAAAGTTAATTCAACTTATTTTGAGTGCGAATAGCTTTAGCATTCAATTCATTTTATATGTATATGTAAACAAGTTTATGTTCATGTGTGTTTTTATCCACAATTTTCATAGTGATTGTGTTTTTGATTTGTGTCCTTTTCTTTTTTTTTTTTTTTATATTTTAGGCCCGACTACGGTTCAAATGGTTTCGCAAAATCGTGCCCCTCCGCCACCTATGCCAGTACCTGTACAAGTATCACAAGGACAGGTAATGCAGCAATATGTCAATGAGAATGGCACTCTGACACATGTTGTATTGTCACCGCAACAATATCAACAATTACATGCTGGCCAAGGACACATACCTCCACCATTTGTAAGTCAAACCAATAACACTGCAATCATATAACAAACTTTATACACACTTCTATCATATTCAACGAAAAAGTACCAGGAATTAGTGAATGAAACTGTTATAAAATGTTCGGCGATTATATACTGAAATAGTTTGGTTTGGTTACGATAGGTTACGATATTCGAACCGGTCTAACTATGTCAGCGAATAAGTGTCTGTTGTCTTCTGATGACCTGTCCATCGCTGGCAGATGCAAAAGCACTGTCCCAGATTTTGACATATACATATATATATATGTACATGTACGAGTGAAGGAAACGAACTATGTTATATATGTAACAATATAGATAATTATGTATTATATATGTAGCTGATGGACAAACATCAAATTATGAATTGAACGTAAGGTTTCCGCCGGTAATCGGTGCCGTACATAGTAGGTAAAAAGTTAGAACTCATTAAAACTTGCTACAAGCAATTTCGAAAAGCAAAAGTGCACCACCTAATCGCGCAAGTGAGATCCACAACACTTTCGATCTTTAGATATCTCCACTGTTACGTTAATATGCGCTTCCGCACCTTTTATCAATTAATTCATTATAATATTCTAAAAATTAGACCTTGTGTTAAGAACGTATATATATATATATGTATGTGGGAAAAAATTGGGAAGAAATCATCTCATTTGGTATGAGAAAATACTACAGTTTACAGTTTGGTGGCGAATAACATTAATAATCTTTTTCATGACTTTCTTGGCTACTTGGCCAAAAAGAATGCAGTGTAGAAAATTTCATTAATTCATCTCCGAAATTATCGACTCCACTTTGAAAGTACGTCGACAAACATCACACGGACAGGTGGACAGGCAGGGTTAATTCAGATCCAGAGAATTTACAACGAAACTAAATTGAATATAATAGAGATATATATTTTTCTGCCCTCAATTATTCCGGGTGTTGCCTATATACACAACGACCTGATCTAACCTTGTCATAAAAGGCAGAGAGTATAAGAAAGAAAAAGGAAAATTATATGTTTATACCATACACCACTCGTGGTACAGGGTATATTAATTTAGCGCGGTCTTATGTAAATGAACTCTACAAAATTTGGACCATGTACGCCTATTTTTGAGTCCTGCCCTATATAAGCATTAAACTTGTACTATATTGGTTTACGTTTTAGACCCGCTTCCCCATAAATACGTACTTGAAAAATTTGCCTTTGTATAGAGAGACAAAAAATTAGAATTGTGTTAGACAATGTGGCGTAGTATATTTAATGGTCAGACTTGCCCGACTATAATGTTCCTACTTGTTTTTACTTTTTAAAACGAGAAAAGTCCTTACTACAATATATCCTATACCTTGTCGCTCATAAATAAATCGTGCGAAGATCGTACATTGCTTGAGGAATATATAGAGGTTTCCGTGTAAATAAAATTCTTATCGTACTAACAAATTAAATAGTTTCGAATAGGTAGGTTTGGTGTATGAGAACAAATATATATAGTACATTGCCGCTTGCGCCGTTATCATTACCCGTCTCAATAGTCGCATAAAGTAGTGATAACATATTAATTTGAAGAACAGAGATTGGTATGTTAGCTTGTACTGAAAACAGTGCACGGGACAAAAGCTCTTAGGGAATTTTTAAATCAGGGAAAAATTAGTCATTATCGAGTGACGAAATGTGCTCATTTGAATACCATGCCCCCAATCAAATCCAAAGTTGAACTGCGTACGACTGCAGGAAAGCCTGCTGCTTCTCTTAAAGCAGTTAAATATTAGAAGACACAGTTTAACGAGTTAGAGGAACAATGATCGATCAAGTAAGATAATCACGCTAGATGAAAGATGAAGACTATTCGTAAGGTAGTATTTAATAACCGTTAGCTGAAAATGCGAGAGCAGCGTTTAAATGATGAATCATATCATATTTGTCGAAAGAGAAAATGGTGTGTCATCAAGACAGTGTAACAGTTCGCGCAATGGCCTGATGTGAAACGAAGATGTGGAAATTCAAATTTCCACTTCATGCCCGCTCTTACCGCATCGGTTTATTTTTTCTTTCCAAACGTATAAAAATGGCACGGTGTTCGAAGATTCGCCAATAAGGAAGAATTAAATCTAACGATTGATAGCGCTTTTGATTAGTTTGACTGAACATCACTTAAAATACACCATCTTGTTAAAAGAAGTCACTCATGTAAAATTTTTTTTTTTTTTTTTTGAGAAGTGGGAATGAAAAGGAATGATAACCGTAGAGACCTCAAGAGATCCACCAAACCCCCCAAAAAAAGCAGACATAATCAAGTCCCTTATTTATATTGATCGCATATGAATGAACTCCACACATATAATATATTTTTCATGGTTTTATGCTTAATAACAAACTTAATTGATTCTCCCCGATGAAAATAAATATGGACTGATTATTTCTTTGTAGTGTTCTCGATCATTTTCTAATTCCCGGTACTTTTTAGTCAAAATAAGTAGCGTCAATTTCTCCTCATATATATCTATATATATATACATATGTACTTCGCAGACAACAAAGAATCAGTTTTTTGTATGCACTTTATAAGCAATCTCTCATATTACAATTGTTTTAATTTCATTTCATTTCAATTATATATTAAATACATATAATAACAATTTTCGTTTCAACTGACCCATAGTATAAGTGCTGACTATATCAGTGGCCGTGTGCATATATACTTTGTATATTTTCCAATTAATCCTATCAATTTCTGATAGATTTACATACTTACTCAACAAACCAAGTAATCGACCCAAATGAAATTCTGTTACACTTTATCAACGTTTACCGAGAGAATGTTTGCTTTTTCTTCATTCATAATTGCATTGATTCCCTCTCATTGTCTCCTTCTCTCTCTCTCTTTCTTTTTAACACTCTTCGTATCCCTAACGTTTGCTCATGCCTCGCTGTGTCTTTGCCATCTTCTTCTTCGTTTCCTTCGTTTCAGTATCCCATCCAAGCGGCCCCCCCCCCCCCCCGCCGCTCCCCCTCTCCCACGCACATAAATTTAATTAAATTACAAAACTTTACTTTATTCAATATTTATATACATGTGTACATTTGCTGCTCAAGCAAGCTGGTTATTATTTACGTTCAATTAGTTTTGTTCAATTATCAAGAAAATTGAAATATTCACACACACACACATGCGTATTTTTAAGTAAATGCATACAAAAACGCTCATGTATTTGTAAAAATTATCATGTACCTAAGTGGGACATGTTTTATATGTATGTAATTTTGTACATTTAAACTTTCTTATTCATTAATTTATTATTTATTATAAAGTTTATAAAATTGAAAAAAAAAAATTCATTCAAAAACATCCTCTCAACAATCATTCTCTACTTTGCATTTCGCTTTACGCATAAATTCAACGGAGCGTATGATTGACACTCAACGATATACGTTCATGACATCGCGGTCGTGTCGTTTGCGCAATCGTTGTGATTTTAACGCTTTTAATGCTTCAGTATTGAAACTGGACGGAGGAAAAAAAAACATTTAAAGGAAACCGCAACATTTTAAACCCGTATGCAACGAAAAAGAGAGTAATTAAAGTGAACAAATATTTTAGTATATTTAAAATTTCTAAATTTTAAAATTTTATTATTTTATAAAAGTGCGGACTTGACATGGGTAACGAGCAGGAGACAGGTCGTCCTAAGTTTAGTCATTCCTTTTATAATTGCTAGGGCTACGGAAGTTACCCTCCATTCAGGTACAATCAATGAATGCATGTGTACGCATACATAAGCACATGCGTTGACCGTAGCTGACTGTGATGTCAAAATGACGTACATATAGCACGTCCTTCCAGACTTCAAGCTTCTCTTTAGTATATTTGGATTCATGATTAATGTCGTGTCCTCAATTTCTGGTATCACATCATTGGCTTTATTAGTTGTTCCGTGGCGAAAACAAGCAAGCCATTTGCCTACTGTTGACTTTGGTTAAACATCTCTACCGTAAATACAAACAACAATCACCCCATTTGCCTTCAAAACGCAACTACCTTTAACTGAATTAACCTTCCTCGTCCTCTTCCTCTTCCTAGTTACCCATGGACTTTCGTCATTCCATAGTCGTATGTGCTTCGAACGTCACAGCGTTTTCCTGCTTAATTCGAAACAGGAAAACCTAAGAAGTAAAACACATCGAATCTGCTATATGCAAGCCAAGAGCAACTGCTTTTTCAGCGTAATGACCTCCCGAATGTCCTTGTGTAAAATGTGCCACCTACCACACCCTATTAAGCCGGACACAACTTCATCTGATCATAAATGACTCATTGTTTGCTTGTTTAAGCCCCCATGAGGTTTCTTCCATTCTTATGACGATATCCAAAAAATGCATGAGTAGTTCAAAAAACACGCATTGACCTTTCGATACGCAATTCACGTTCACCCTAAACGAAGAAAAGTACTTTCCATAAAATACTTTGCACGATACAATAAACTTTCAATTTAACTAAAAATAACTAAGAAAATTATATTCAAATCTTTTATGCCCGTCAGCCTCACCCTATACAAGATTGATAAGAAAAAAAAAAACGCAAACTCTAAAATTTTAGGTGGGCGTGACTGACTTTTTTTATTTTTGTAGAATACTTTTGTGGAAATTTATATCGTGCATCTGTTCTGGTTTGTGAGCAACCAGCAAAAGACACGGAAAACAAAGGCGTCCCCAACATTAGTTGAATTAATTGATCTCTCACTGGGGCCATTTTCAAACTCTTTTGCCAACTTGAAGCCGATATCTTCCTCTTTTCGAAAAGGAGATTGTATACCACATGTAGTACACTGTTGGGCAGACGGGCAGATGAACGGACCAACAGACGGACATAATCAAGCGCTTCCCGCTTTTGAAACTTTGATTTTATTCCTTTTGCAAAACAGACGTGTTCTCAGTTTAGATGATACTATAGGCGTGTCCTTTGACCGATCTGTCCTATATTCAGTATCGACCTGCTTGCA